TTGTCCGTAGACACTTCCAAGGTCATGTGGCCAGCATGACTGCATGGAGTGCTGTTACCTTCCCGAAGAAGCGGTACCTATTGATCTACTCACATTGGCATGTTTTTGAACTGCTAGGTTGGCAGAAGCTGGGGCTAACAGTGGAAGCACACCCCACTCCTCGGATTCGAACCTCCAGCCTTTTGGTCAGCAAGTTCCGCAGCTCAGCAGTTTAACCCACTGTGCCACCGGGGGCTCAATTCTGGTTATGGTGTTTACTCCTGGTACTCTGATATATTTTAGTGGAATTGCCCCAACTGATTGTTATTTTTGAGCCTAAGCGCTCAAATTCCCCAACACCCCACTATCTCATTTTTCAAAGAAGAAATAAAGAATGTTTCTCCCCCACCTCCCCGCACGCCATAATTTTCAATAGTCAGTACAGATCCTCCAGGGTACTGAAGAAGAAAAACTGGCCACCAAATCAAGCAGGGAGCCTAGAAAACTGGGGACTGAAATATCAGATGATACAAATTGCTAGAAAACTGGGAACTAAAATATCTGTGCAAGGGGAGGTAAAATGCTAGAAAATTGGGGACTGAAATAAAATTTCAATTTGTGGGCAAAATTCTGATTCAGGAGCCATGTTGTTTCTGGCTCCTTTCACCCAGTACACTTCTACCCTTGGGTTGTTGTAGGTTTTTCAGGCTGTATGACCATGTTTTAGAAGCATTCTTTCCTGGCGTTTTGCCTGCATGTATGTCAGCCATCCTCAGAGGTTGTGAGATCTGTTGGAAAATAGGAAAATAGGATTTATATTATAATTTTAAAATTATAACAGTAAATAAAGAACAAAACTCAAACACAGGGGAACTCCAGACAAGAAACCATCAGGAACAGCTAATCATCTCTCAACAAAGGATTCCCCCAGGCAGTAACAAGCTACACCTAAAAACTGTCAGGCCATCAAATGCTAATCAAGGTGGCCAATTGAAGCATTCACACCCAGGTCCAACAGACAAGAGTTCTTTCTCCCACCCTGGACTTTCAACCAATATATATAAACCCAACTTTCCTAGTTTCCAGCAGACCTCACGACCTCTGGGGATGCCTGCCATAGATGCAGGTGAAACGTCAGGAGAGAATGCTTCTAGGAAAAACCTACAACAACCCAGTGATTCCAGCCATGAAAGCCTTCGACAATACTTCTGCCCTTGCCTTATGGTGTATTTGTAAATTAAATTAAACAGAAGTATGTATAATATAGACTTACTGATGAAACAAATATTGCATCTTATATGAAACCTTTCCCTTACAAATCCAATAGGGTGCAGCTACATTGTAGAACTAATGCAGTTTGACTGCACTTTAACTGCCATGGCTCAATTCTATGAAATCCTGGAATTTGCAATTTGTTTAATTACCAGCATTCTTGGATAGAAAAGGCTAAACATATTGCGAAACTACAATTCCCAGTCCTTTATAGCATTGAGCCATGGCATTTAAAGTGCATCAAACTGCATTAATTCTATAGTGTAGATTCAACTTTAGAAAGGGAAAGATTTCCTTTACAATATCAGCCATCCACCAGTCCAACTCCTGTTTCCATTTTGATGCTATTTGCCAACTAAAGAATAGACCATGGTTAAATTACAAGAATACAGAAACTAAGCCTTTAACATCATCTTTAACTTTACAGTCAGATTAAGGATGTACAACCTACTGTGCCGACAAAACAATTTGTCTTGGTATGGGATTAGCAGTAAAACCAGGAAATTTTAAGAGCTACTTTTAAGGTTTGCTTCTAGCTGTCTAGTTGCCAAGAAACTAAAGAGAACTTTGATGTGCTATAAAACATGGTGCGCTACTTTGGTTCTCCAGATGTTATTGGGCTGCAACTTCCATCTGCTCTAGTCAGCACAGCCAGTAGTGAGGGATTATAGAAGATGTGGCCTCAACATCTGGAATCACAGTTGCCTGATTCCCTCCCAAAGTAAGTAAGCCTAAACATATGGACTCGGGAGTGAGCCACAGCACATCAAATGGGATCGTTTCTACATAAATACGTTTAAGATTACACCCACAAGCTGCTATTCTAGGCTACATGTCTACACTGTAGAATTAAAGCAGTTTGGTACCACTTTTAACAACGATGGCTCAACACTATGGAATCCTGGAAGGTGTAGTTTGGTGGGCACCAGCACTCTTTAGTAGAGAAGGCTAAAGATCTTGTAAAACTATAATTCCCATGATTCCATATTAATGCATTTCATAGAATCTTAGAATCATAGAGTAGGAAGAGACCTGGTGGGCCATCCAGTCCAAACCCCTGCCAAGAAGCAGGAAAATTGCATTCAAAGCACCCCCGACAGATGGTCATCCAGCCTCTGCTTAAAAGCCTCCAAAGAAGGAGCCTCCACCATACTCTGGGGCAGAGAGTTCCACTGCTGAACAACTCTCACAGTCAGGAAATTCTTCCTAATGTTCAGTGGAATCTCCTTTCTTGTAGTTTGAAGCCATTGTTCTGTGTCCTAGTCTCCAGGGAAGCAGAAAACAAGCTTGCTCCCTCCTTCCTATGACTTCCTCCCACATAGTTATACATGGCTATCATGGGTGATAGTATGATAACTGGGTCCGGAAGCTCCGAGCGTTACATAGATGCCACAAAGGCGGCTGTGAATAAGGGAAGAGAGGGGACGGAGTGAGAGCGGGGAGAGAGAAGGAAGGATAGAAAAGAGAGGACATTTAGGGTAAGAGGTAGGGCAAGGTTTAGGGTTTGGGTTAGGTTTACGATTAGGATATGGGTTAGGGGTTAGGGGTTACAGTTAGGGTATGGTTTAGGGTTATGGTAAGGGCTAGAGTAAGGTTTAGGGTTTGGGTTAGGGTAAGGGGTTAGGCTTAGGCTTACGGTATGGTTCAGGGTTAGGGTTAGGGTTTCACCATTAAAGAACTCTTACATTCCTTCTATATTATCTGTCTCTGCCCTGGCTTACATTAGCTAAGTCTCTCTTGCGCAAACAGCGCTCCTAAATGAGCAATGCAGCATCTCCGTAATGCTCTGAGCTTCCGGACCCAGCTATCATACTAATAACCACCATGTCAGACTACACAGAGAAGCCACTGAAATCCATAAGCATGTGGACAATTTCAACAGAAAGGAGGAAACCATGAAAATGAACAAAATCTGGCTACCAGTATTAAAAAAACTCTAAAATTACAACAGCAAAACAACAGAAAGGAAACAATCCGGGACAGCTAATCACCTCTCAACAAAAGATTCCCCCAGGCACCAACAAGCCACACCAAAAAACTGCCAGGCCATCAAATGCTAATCAAGATGGTCAGTTGAAACATTCACACCTTGTTCCAACAGACAAAAGTTCTTTGTCCCACCCTGGTCATTCCATAGATATATAAACCCAATTTTCCTAGTTCCAACAGACCTCACTATCTCTGAGGATGCTTGCCATAGATGCAGGCGAAACGTCAGGAGAGAATGCAAGGACTTTAAGATCATCTGGAGAGGCCCTGCTCTCGGTCCCGCCATCATCACAAGTACAGTTGGCGGGAACGAGAGACAGGGCCTTTTCAGTGGTGGCCCCTCGGCTATGGAACGCCCTTCCTAGGGAGATTAGATCGGCTTCCTCGCTCCTTTCATTCCGTAAGAATCTTATTTGAGCAGGCATTTGGAAATACAGAGTAACTGATATAATAATGAAATAACTATATGGCGGAACAGGACATTGTTTTAATGATTATTGATTGAAGTATGTTTCATTATAATGTTTGATTTTATTGTTGCTGATGTTTTTATATCGTATATTGTAATTGTGTCCTTGGTGGCATTGAATTCTTGCCTTGTAAACCGTCTCGAGTAGCCGGAAGGCTGAGAGGGGCGGTATAGAAATGTACTAAAGAGATAAATAAAATCCCTCTTCCAAAGAATGAATGGAACACACAAAAAGACGAATTGGTCAGGATTTAAAGATTTTATTTCAACTAGGAAAATTACATAAATGATAGACTTGTCCAGCATCTGAAAAAGATAGACGAAGCTACGCCGGGAAAATTAAATGAAGAATCCATAATAACAGAAAATTAATATGCTCAAAAGACTTTGGGAAGTCCTATCACGAACACTTTTACTTTTTAAAAAACTTTTTTAAAATTGTTATTATTTTTATTTTATTTTTCTCTTTTTCTCTCTCTCTTTTCTTACATCTTTTCTGAAGAAGAGAAGCCTGAGAGGAGATATGATAGCCATGTATAAATATGTGAGAGGAAGCGACAGGAAGGAGGGAGCAAGCTTGTTTTCTGCATCCCTGGAGACTAGGACGCGAAACAATGGCTTCAAACTACAAGAAAGGAGATTCCATCTCAACATGAGGAAGAACTTCCTGACTGAGAGAGCCATTCAGCAGTGGAACTCTCTGCCCCGGAGTGTGGTGGAGGCTCCTTCTTTGGAAGCTTTTAAACAGAGGCTGGATGGCCATCTGTCAGGGGTGATTTGAATGCAATATCCCTGCTTCTTGGCAGGGGGTTGGACTGGATGGCCCATGAGGTCTCTTCCAACTCTTTGATTCTATGATTTTCTCACTATCCCTAAAAACACTAATGTTTTCACCCACTTTGGCTGTAAATATTAAAAAGCACAATAAAAAAAATTTTAAATAAATAAAATGCCTCAATCTAGAACATGGCCATATAGCCCGAAAAAACCTACGACAACCTATCATACTATTACCCTATCATGTCTCCTCCCAGCCTTCTCTTCTTCAGGCTAAACATGCCTAGCTCTTTAAGCCGCTCCTCATAGGGCTTGTTCTCCAGACCCTTGATCATTTTAGTCGCCCTCCTCTGGACACATTCCAGCTTGTCAACATCTCCCTTCAATTGTGGGTGCCTTAATCTATAGCGTAGATGCAGTTCTTGTTTCAGACACAAAATATGGAATGTGCCATGAAGCTTGCAAGCATCGTGCTGGGGAACTGCTTACTTTGCGCCTGCGCAGAGGCGTCTGTTCCCGACATGCTCTCGGCCAGTGTTTGGGGGGCGGAGACGCCTTTCCAGTTTCAACGACAGCGGGACCGAAGAGCAGCGTTGCAGAAGAGGTCCTTGATATTTTGTAGGTGAATTTGCTGGGAATTTAAAAGTAAGCCAACCCGTTTTCTGATGCCTTTCTTTTGCAAATCCTAAAGCTGAGAAGTTGTTTTCCTTGTCTCCATTTGGGGAAAAGTGGGGTTGTGTAGAGAGGGTGCATTTACACTAGGCCTGGGCCAACTTGGGCCCTCCAGTGTTTTGGACTCCAACTCCCACCATTCCTAACAGCCTCAGGCCCCTTCCTTTTCCCCCTCAGCTTCTGGAACGTGGCCATACAGCCCGAAAAACTTACAGCAACCTGGTGATTCCGGCCATGAAAGCCTTCGACAACACATTAAATAAATGTACTTTCTGGTTGCTAGAGAGTTTAGTTATTTACCATGTTTATACCCCGCCCTTCTCAACCCTGAAGGGGACTCAAGGCGACTTTACATATAGGCAACTATTCCATGCCTTAAAACAACATATAATTAAATAAATATTTAAAATTAAAACATTATATTCAATATTAAAATTGTGTTATCCACAGTCATAATCTGGGCCATTTCAGTGGTCATTTCACGTACAATTCTTCTCGAAAGGCTTGATCCCAAAATCATGTTTTCACTCTCATTCTGAAGGCCAGGAAGGAGGGGACTGATCTAATATCACTAGGAAGGGAATTCCACAGCCAATGAGTCACCACTGAGAAGGTCTCTCGTCCCCAGTTATCACACCTATGAAGGAGATGGGACTGAGAGAGGGCCTCCCTGGACGATTTTAATCTCTGAGATGGTTCATAAGGGAAGATATATTTGGATAGGTAAACTGGGCTAGAACTATTTAGCGTTTTATAGGCTAAATCTAGCACTTTGAATTGTGCTTTGTAGCAAACTGGAGTTGGCGTAAGGGGCGGTTGTCTCTCTCCATGAACCAACCCAGGCCCTTCAGGGGAGGCCCTCCGTTCGCCCCTGCCAGTCTTACAAACTCGTCTTGTGGGCACAAGGGAGAGAGCCTTCTCATCTGTGGCTCCCCGACATTGGAACTCACTACCTGGAGAGATCAGGAAATCCTCTACACTAGAAACGTTTAAAAAGAACCTTAAAACCTGGCTCTTCCGCTGCTCCTTTGGCAAGTAGGTGCACAACATGACACTACTGTTCCCCTCAACGTTTCTGTCACTGGAGTACACACCCCCCAAATGGGAAGTTTAGTTCACAACCCTGTGTTTCTTTATGAGCTCCCTGTAAATAACTTGCTCCTATTCTTATCTCATTAGAGTTTTTTTTTAAAAAAACCCATTTTATCATGTACACGTGGCCCACCCACTGTCACTGTGATTGTGTTTATTGTAATGTTATTTTGTTACTGTATTCATATGTTTTTTTTCTTTTTTCCATGTTATTTTGATGATGTTGCTTGTTGATTATGTTTTGATTTTATTTGTGCTGTAATATGTTGTCCAGGCTTGGCTCCATGTAAGCCGCTCTGAGTCCCCATTGGGGAGATGGTGGCGGGGTATAAATAAAGATTATTATTATTATTGTTATTGTTATTGTTATTGTCTGTTCCCTGAATGGTGCTGTTGAACGCCAGATCTGTCAACGGTAAAACATCTTTCATCCAAGATTTAATTCTGGAGGAACGGNGGGGCGCTCCTCAAGTGGCGGTCGAGGGGCATTTACAGAGGCGCCTCTGCACCCCTGGCAAAAAAAAGTGTTTTGCAACTGCTTACTTCGCATAATGGACGAGCCGCCCCTGGCTATAGACACAATCAATAATATCTATAGAAATCTACTCTAGCACTGATTTCTTCCTATCACCTTTCTTCACTGTCCAGCCTTTACAACAATACATAAATATAATAAATACAATGACATTGGAAATCCTGACTTTAGTATTAAAATTATATATGTGTGTGAAATTTAGAATCTCGTCTCATCCCTTCATAGTTGTCCTTCCAAGTCCTAATCTTCTGATTTCTTGATTGCAGTATAAAATATCTTGAATCATTTTAATGTCTACTTCAATGGAATATAAATTATCTGTGATCATTGTTTTTGCTTACTTCATGTCCAACTGCATACCCAGTGCAATTTGAATGGGACTAAAGGAAAGTGCACTCAGCCAAGGAGAAACATTTAAATTTCTTGCTCACTGACTAGAAGACACCCTCTACATGGAGGCAGGCCAAATCATCTCTTAAAATATCCGACTCTTTCAGACAGACAGTGGAGGAAAACTAGAATTTGAAATGAAATGGTGAAACTGTTTTGCACATCATTGGATTACTCACTCAGTGCTTGATGACCAACAGTTGAATGCGCCAGCACACTTCGCAGCAAAGTGATCTGTCTGACATGATAATGTGTGTGAAGAATGATATCTCCCTAAGCAATGGCTCTTTGCTTTGCAAAGACTTCTCCTCATGTATAAGGAGCTCATCACATTGATGAGGTTTCGCAGGGCAATTCGCCAGCCTCCATGACAAATAGGAGGAGCAGTGGGACAATTGCAGCACAACGCCTTGCTGGCAGCGCTGCTTCCCCATCACATGAAGGGAAGTGTCACCATACGGCTTCCCACTGCGCTGGCCCCATTGTTCAAAATGGAACACGGGAAGCCTCCTTTGTTCTAGGTGCAGCATCATAGAGCATTTGCACCCCGGTTCATCAACAGACCCCCACCAGAAATTAACCTGCATTAGACGGCCCGCTGTGAAGCATTTGCTCGGTTCTTTGCGGACAAAGTCGCTTTGATCCGTTCAGGTCTAGACACCATGTTAACGGCAGTCTCTGAGGATGTGACGAGAACACCTGTCTGTCCGAGTTTGTTGGATTCGTTTCAATCTGTGACACCTGAGGATGTGGACAAGGTGCTTGGAGGGATGAGGGCAACCACATGCATCCTAGACCCCTGCCCATCCTGGCTTCTAAAGGAGGCCAGAGGGGGATTGGCCGAGTGGGTAAAGGTGGTGGTTAATGCCTCCCTTCGGGAAGGCATAATTCCAGCCAGCTTAAAACAAGCTGTTATAAAACCGCTGTTGAAAAAACCATCACTGGACCCCACTCAATTCGTCAACTATCGGCCTGTTTCCAATCTTCCCTTCTTGGGCAAAGTCCTGGAACGTGTGGTGGTCTCACAACTCCAGGCATTCTTGGTAGACACTGATTATCTGGATCCGGCGCAGTCTGGCTTTAGGCTGGGGCATGGTACCGAGACA